TGTGCGTGTGTGTCTGTGTCTTTGTTTGTTTGTGCGCATGTGCGTGTGTGTGGAAAAGCCTTGTGACTGCCAGATTGAAAATGTGTGTGTGTGGAAAAGCCTTCTGACTGCTAGATTGAAACCAGCAAAGTCGATAAAAAGAATCTCAATTTGTAGGTAAGGAGCACATTAATTTTTTCTTGTCCTTCTTTTACTAATAGTTCCTTCAAAACCATCTGGTGAGCCCACTTAAAAGAGAGACTGGCTTGAAGATTTTTCATGATTCATGATTAAATCTTTAGGTGAGCTTTTTGGCTTAGAGATGAAATTAGGGCACATATTTGAACTTGTTTGGAGGAATTCATGGTGAAATAGAAACTGGAGGGATTTGAGGTAAGAGATCGTTGATTTTATATTGGTTCTGGTGTTGGGTTTTGTGGCCTTTAAAGGCTTAGAGAACTTGTAAATATGATATTTTATAATGAAATATGCAGTTCAGTCGGAGTGTGTTGATTGATCAAGGGTTGCACGGTTTATGGCCTTGGTCATGTCCAAAACCCTTACCCCTGGGCATGTGGCACAATCGAGAAGGTTTTTCAGTGGGGGTCATCTCTTGTTAAGGTCAGAGAGATGCCCAAAGATGATGTTTGTGGGCCAGTAGAATTGTGTGATCTCCTATGTACAGTTGTGGGCCTGTTAGAGCATGGGTCAAAACCTCAACAAACTTCCACATGGCATATACGTATGACAACCGCATTACTGGGAAGCTGCCCTGTAGAGGGATACGTGTATAGGTGCATAGAGAGCCCCTTTTGCACTGTGGTGACAAGTGCTAGACTTGCTCTTAAAGTGGGAACTGTAATCCACATTCCAGAATCATGTTTTCACTGTTTATTATCCAATTTTGACAAGCCAATCATGAGCCCTTAAAATGGGACTGTTGGTTATGGGTCTTTGTTGGGTTGGATAAAAAAATAATAGCGAATCATAGTTTCTAGGGCGAGTGGAGTGCTTTTATTGTTGCTATTTTTGACCCATTGGTACTGGTCCGCTCCTAGTATGTTTTTTATAATTTTTTTAAAATTTTAAAATATTATTTATGCTATAATTTTCATTTCTGAAATTTTCAAAACTTGATAACACACATGTGGGACCCAGGATCCAGCCCCCACATGTGTGTGCGACCCATGTGGGGCCCACATTACCCCCTAAGGAGGCATGCCATTCTTTTTTAACAAAAAAAGTAGACAGGCTATTTTTAAGGAAAACGTGGCATGTCACTTTTTTCCTTGTTATAGGGGCCACATCCCAAGAAAATCTTTTTAAAAAAGGCTCCTTGCCACTTTTTTAAGAAAAAGGGGGATGCCCCATTTTCTTAATCTTTAGTTCAATTTTTAAAATTAGTTAAATATGAGAAATCTTATTAATTTAAATTAGATTTGGTTTCCTATCCTAGTGGGAGTTATTTAAAATTCAGATCTTCTTTGATTATATGGAATCTAGATAATTTTTAAATTTGATTGTATTTAAAATTTAAATAGGAGTTGGACTTGGGTCAAAATCGAAGGGGATAAGATTCATATCTTTCATCTCAAAATCATGATGACTGATTTGTGGTATTGATAACTATGGTTAAATCTTTCTCACCCCCACAGATTTCTTAATTATCTTAAAGGTCGGATTGGACATTGGATATCGCATACATGGATTAGAATCCTATTCAAAATAGGAAACAAATCTTATTTAAATAAAAGTAACACCAACAACACTTAAAGGATTAAAAGTGTGCCATTGGTTAGGGAATCGATTGTGGGGTGTACGAAGACATGTGAGGGTAACTCCAGCCTTCAGGCATCTTCCAGTAAGTCTTCCCAGTAGTGATTAATTTTTAGTATTATTTTGAAATTTTTTGTGAATTTTTAGGAACTTGTTTTATTTTAAAAACTATAGTGGAAGTTGGTTTAAAGCTCCTGAATAATATCTATTTCTCTTCACAGTAAAAGTGTAAAAGATCCTAGGTTGTATCTAGGGTATTATTTTAATTTACAACCACATATAGTGGCCCATGTAAGTGGAATTCAAGTATTTGGAGTAAAAGTAAAAGAAATTTCAAGAATTTAATACCTTGAGTTCCACAAAGTCACTCATTTCATATGGTACCCCTCTAATTAGAGAGAGAGAGATATGGTTCAATGTTTTGGTGCCGCGTACTTGCTTCTTTCTTTGTAGCAGTTACACTCATTGCTTTGCCACCAAAGCAATTTTTCCTTTGTAACAAAACTTTTAACAAGGAAAGAAAACAGGGTGTGGATAGCCTGAGCAAAGTTACTGATGAACTTCACTAAGATGTTTATAAGGCTTTTTCTTTGCATATATGTATGTATGTATGTATGTATGTCTATGTGTATGTGCGTGTATGCACATGTGGGTGCGCTCAGGTACCTATGTGAAATTGTTAGGCACTTTAATTCCTGAATTTTTTTCATATTTTAGTATTAAACTTAACTAGTCCCAAGCCCGGGTAAAGGAGGTGGGTTGTGTTATGTAGGCAACCAACATATTCCATGAATCCTAACTGACTAGGATTCGTGCAACGGACCCCAAATAGTTGGGAAAAGGCTATGATGATGATGAGTATTATGCCCTTACATTTCTGTACTTTACTAGCTTAATTGTATCTGATGCAAAGTGTATTCTGCTTGCACTCCTAGAGCAGGAGAATTTTTATTGACATGCATGTTTGTTGTTTTGTATTTTTCTTGTTTGTTTTAGTTCCCCTGCATGGGTTGTTGCTAAGATGCTGAGGACAAAACTCTTTCTTCCAGTTACAGATGGAACATTAAGGTGGGTTTTAATGCATGTATTTGCTTCCTTGTTATAACCTTCTGCAAAGAATAGTAACTAAAAAAAACTTCTGCGAAGAATTGTATGAAGAAAAATTTCTGGTTTATGGCACGTTTCTTATGCCTATAGCTTTGCAATATGAAGGGATGGCTACTGCATTGACTTGGGTGTTGGGAAAAAAGAAAGAAGGAAATTTATCGGGAGAGCCAATGAACTGCTGCCAAATAACATTGTCAAAAAAAAAAAAAAATTCCTGCCAAATAACAGTGTGTTATGCCAAAATAAAATGAAGATTGGCATGATACTTGTGCTTTCAACATTTTATTCGTTAATTAGCAATTGACACTATTGTACATTGCCCATTTGACCTCACTTTATTATAATTATTGATGTGGTGACCATTGACATGTTACTTTTATGCCTGATGACATCCTCTTGCTTTTGAAGCTGGGAATCAAGGACTTCTTCCTTTGGAATTGAAGTCACTTCACAAACTATAAAACTTGCTGCCAACTCATGTGATCATATTGATGTTTTCTCCTTTTCCAGAATTCTGCATCAATAGTTTGCCACATGGAGTTCTTGTTGGACTGATTCCATATCTGGAACTTTCCTTTCTGGGGTGTTCAGCAATTGGAAGTTCTCGCACCAGAAGCCTGAACTGCTAGGGTTCTGTAACTGTTCCTAGTTTGGCAACTAGTAACGCACGACACCTGGATGTGCACACTTCTCAAAAATAGGAAGTGTGCCATGCTCATCGTGGAAGCGTGGGCTTCTCATTGAGTGGGAAGGCCCACATTTCTCATCGGAAGCTAACCATGGTCATTTTTATGTTTATCTTTATTTTTTTTTTTAAATCAAGTCAATGAGGGTGAGTTCGCCTTAGTGGGTTTCATCTATAAAATATTCATAAAAGTAATTAGAAAAACATAAAATGACCAAAATGCCCCTACCATTTCAGGGATTTTTTGTCATTTTATCTTTTGTAATATTTTTTTAATATATTTTTACAGGTTCTTGGGGAAAAGAAATATTAACAACAAAATTTTAGCTCAATCTGATATATTTTTAAAAAAATTGGAATACTTTGACATGCTTTCTGAATTGAAATACTCTAGGTATGGAAACTTCTAGGTTTATCAAACGAAGGTTTCCATAGGGGTTTGGATGGCATTAACGTACTCTGGATAATATTATTTTGTTAACTACTTCATGGTATTTTGTATAATGTATACTATTGTCTAATTATTTATCTTTTTTGTGATTTCCTGTTATTTTTAGCTATATTTGGCAAAAAACATGTGAGTTTCATCAAATTACTTTGAATAAAGTAGAACCGACTTTTCAAAAAGATAAAGTTATATGTAAATCTGCTTATCAGTTTATCTCAGATGACCTTATGATGGATCTTGCCAGACAACATATAGCTCATTATTAAGACTAATTTATTGAAATCGTGAATTAACAGTAATAACGAGTACATCCAAACAGGCCCATAGTTGCGTAGAATTCTAGATAAGTAATTAAGAACAGTATTTTACAGATCCAAATACAAATCTTCTATGTTCTGTACTTTGGAACTTCCTAATTTTCCAGCTTCCAATTGTCAAACACACCATTCATGTCTATGCTTGCTGGAGTGAGTTAATCTAGTTTAAGAACACCTTTTTTACAAATCCCCAATTTCTCTTTTCATCTCACATTCTGAAATATTGTGGTTTTTTTGTTCTTCGTCATAGGTGATGAATTGTCCGACCAATGTGCCCTTTCATGATCAATCACACAAAGTGTCCTACCATCCTCTCTCTCTCTCTCTCTGTACACACACATATTTTCCTTCAAGCCATGGATCCCAATGCTCCTATCTCAGCAATCTTGTTTCCATTAAGTTTAATGGCTCTAAATTTCTTCTTTGGGTGGCTTTCCTTTTCTATCATTTATAGCATTATCGGACGTTATTTTGGTGATGGTTTTCCTGAGCCTCGTCTTGACATCCTTTTAAGTTGGATATGCCTTATTTTTCTGCTCGTACCTATACTGAATAGCTGAGGATGGCTGAACTTATTCTTAACTAGATCGGTGCTAATCTTGCCCAAGTATTTGGCTTCTCCTCTTGCAAATTACGTATATTCCATAAATATACTTTATTATCAATCAAATTCCCATGATTTTTATTGCCTAAAAAAATCAAAGAAAAAATTGTTGAACCTCTATTACCCATTGAGCTTCATACCTGTTATTGTGGTTTCTTCTTATTTATTTATTTTTACTTCCAAGGGCACATGTGGCTCCTCAGCGGCCATTCCTTTTTGAGTGTTTGAAGAGGATAAAGTCCTGTTTTTTCTTTGTCGAATGAAAGTTTGTTATGTCTTTTTATACATCCTTACGATTGAAGGACATGGAGTGCTCCTCCTCAGTTGAAGGGTATGCCTTTAGCAGCATTTAGGTGCATCTCATTCTTCCTCATGGATCACAAATTTCTGCATAAACATTAAGTGGACATGGTTTTACATCCATTTTTTATGTTTTGCCATTGTTTTTGCAATCAATGTTGTGCTGGTCATTGTTTGTAGTTGATGGATTTGTAACTTGTAAAAGTTGTAATTGCAGGTAGGGGTTTATACAAGATAAATATATAGTGAATTCTGTTTCTGTGATAGTATCTAGCTTCAAATATATTAGTTTCCTAAGTAAAAAATGGAATTAAACTTTGGAAGTGCGTTCTTAACTTTGTGAAGTTGTTATATTTTCAAACTGTTATGATCAATCAGCCTTTTATTTTTTATTGTTTTTTCAAATATGGCCGAATTTATGGAGTTACCATTGTCTGGGATGTGGACTGTGTGGTGGTGACTGATTCTTGGAAGTGGTGAATGATTCTTGGAAGTATGAGTTGTAGTTAATATGAGGTTAATGAATTTTGTTATTTTGTTTTCTTAGTGGGATGTGGTTGCTTTCTGGTGGGCTGGCAAAATTGTTGTCATTTGACATTGATCAAAATGGGGAGACTATGTTGGTCTCAGGTAATTCTTTCTCTAAATGTTAATTTACCCTAATATATCAAGTGCTGTGCACGTCCATATCTTTGTTGGCCATTCTTCAAGTGTTGTATTGCTAGTTGTTGACATTGCTTTGATATCTATTACTTGTCTTTTGCAGTTCTAGACATCACTATGTCGCTTGTGGAAATCGGTGCAGAAAATGAAGTGGCATCTTCCCTTGTTGTTTTTGCTATTCAATTTGTTTTAGTGAATAATGAGCATTGGAAGTACCAATCGAAACATGTCCGCTGGAAAATAACATTTAAGGTATGTTTTTCTATGCTATTTCCGATTAATATTATCCACTAGATTTCCTTATATTGACATGCTAGAGAGAGAGAGAGAGAGACATTTAAGGTATCTTTTTGTATACTATTTCCCATTAATATTACCCACTGGCTTTCCTTATGCTGACATGAGAGAGGGAGTTATGTTTTTGTATGCTATTTCCGATTAATATTATCCACTGGCTTGCCTTATTTTGACATGAGGGAGGGAGGGAGGAAGGTTCCTTTTTGTTTGATTTATCCCATAAATATTATCCACTGGCTTGAGGGAGGGACTACTCATGGGGTGGCCCGCCTAGAAGAACTGGGTTCAGGTCAACGACCCCTAAAATTTTGAGAACAGATAGGAAAAAGAAAATAAGTCACATTATCCTTCTTTTTGATTTGTTGAAGAAGTCATCGTGACTGTTTTTCTTAATATCTGGTCACTTTTTCTGTACTTTGTTTTTTTTATGTAACGAGTTTTCTTGTCCTACGTATTGTAACACTGCTTTGAGGTTTCCTAAATACGGTTGGTCAACGGTGCAGATTCTATAAAGTTGCTATCAAGGCGCATTTGTTTGTCAGAATTTGAATTTTCTCATTTTGTGGTCCATTACCACAATACTTTGATACATCTACTAGTAAACTAAATGACTTTTATGTGGTGGCTGGATGTCCTTTCCATGCTCTAGGGGCTTGTGCTGTCAGCCTTCTTGAAAAGTGCCTTCTAAAAGTTGATTCTAAATTATACAGACTCGATCCTCCTTTCCTTGATCCTTTTTTAGTGTATTTTGTCAAATACTTGCAAATCCTCTTTGTTCCGCTATCACCATCATGTTTTATGTTCAATTCATGTTTCAGTTCCAGAATGTGACTCGCTAAGCATTTATAATTACCAAGACCATGAACTGCAGATTTAAGCAGCGTTGGTAGTTAATGATTTTGACTTCAATTATGTATATCTTAGTGCGCACAGGCTCATAGATATGTGTTTTGCTGCTCTCATTCAAGTTTTTACTTCTGTGAGTGTTCGTGAAGTAGGGGTGCATTGTTCTGCTTATTGTGCCCATGATTTGCCATGAATGGATGCAATAGGTTTTTGGTGTCCATTTGGTGCTAGTCATCTGAGATCCATTTAGCTGTTATATGGTAAAACTAACATTATGCACCAACATCTCCTTTTCATTGGAATATGTCCTTTCTTGACTTGTGCAAGAAGCTGATAATCTCCAATAAAATCTGTGCATTCTCGACTATTAACTCTTATGCTAGTTCAACTCTTGTGCTTCCTATTGCAATGAAATATATTTTTTGCAATACACTTTTTCAGGTTTTTGAGATAATGAAGAGATGCATCAAGTCAACTGAGGAATTACCTAAACTAGGTCATGTGGTTAAGGATATTGTTTTATGCGATCATTCTGTTCACAATGCCCTCCTCCAAGTACTATGCATAACAAGCAGGACATTGGAGGTTGGTGAAGTTCCACACTATATTATTTAAGAAATCTTTATTAGAATTTGTTGGTGACCATTATATGTTTCTTCTTGTTTTTTTTATGGTCACAATATGCTTGCTAAAGGAAAATTTGGTTCCATAGAGGCTATATGTCAACCGTCTGTATGATCCCAAGGAGATTAACAGCTTACAACTTGCTCTTTGCTCTGCATTGGATATCGTGTTTGCGACGCTTTCTGATCTTGAGGAGGTATATTTTCTTAGTTTCTGTATTTTGTCGAGTTTTTAGCTGATTATATTAGTAAATCTCTTGCTTCTCATAGTTTTTTTTTGTCCTTGGTGTTCCCTATTGCACCTTATTATAAATTGTTGATGTATTTGTACTTGTGGATGACTTGGGAAGTTTTACTGAGGATCTAATGTTTAGCTTGATGTTGTGTGTTGGCTTATGGATATACAACTGTGAACGGTATTTTTTGAATCATAATGCATATTATTGTGGTTTTATTAATCGAGTTATTGGTTAAAAACCTAGCAAAAATATATATTTTTTATATGGTTCATGAAGTACACCATTAGTTCTTGATATGTTTGTCATGAATTTATTTCTTGCATATTATGATTGAGAATATGCTTGCAAGTGCTACATCTATGCACCTCTCTTACATTTTCATGTGTGATTGACTCAGTCACTTGCCTCTATGTGTGAGTCTTCTTGTTTCTTTGTGTAACGAACTTTATATTCACCTAGATTCCCTCCTTTTGAACTTTCTGTCCCTAACGCCAACTTTTTTTGCATGTTCCTTTGAAACTCAATTTTAAAAAGTTGAATGTATGTCATTAAAACCACTAAAACAAACATAGTTTCGTGAAGCAATAGCTAAGCTGTTAATCAATATGTTTTTCTTAACCCTTTTCTTTGTTAGATTATAGTTTTATCAGATTGTGGACGGTTGCATGCATGTTTCTTTTCCAGTTGAAAACATGACTTGCAGGGTTTTCATGTGGATTCAAGCAAGATAACCTGAGAGTACAAGAATGTTTTGGGTTTCATACAGATGTAAAGCAATGCAAACGAAGAGAACATCATAACAATGTCCATAAAGGTGGCTGCTTAGGGGTGCCTAGATATGTAAGCAGCCCATGTAGAAGGGTTGGCGGGTCTAAGCACTATTATATGTGTTGTCCTTTTATGTAATATTAACTATCTTATGTCTAATATTTGTGCAATGTTCCTCATAATTTCTTATGTGGTTAAGGGTATAAGAATAAGTTTCTCTTAACCCAAACACTTGTATAATCAATGTATATGGGTCTCCACATTAATTGAGTGGAATGACCGAACCACCTTGTCTTCCATCTCACTCTTCCTCTCCTCTTTCTTCTCTTCTCCTCTCATTTGATAAAGTTTGGCGGAGGTCATGGAAGATAAGTAACAACTTCAATAATCCTGGTCTCAATACTAATGCTTTTTTTTTTGGGTGAATTAGTGGGGATTTTGGCCCCTATCTCAATACTAATGCTAATCATGGGCTTCTTCCTATGCCACAGTCCGCAAATCAACCTACTAACCATGCAGGAGTCAACCCGCCATCTCCCCTCATATATCAACTTTTTGGGAAACAAAATCATATCTCTGCTGACTATTGGCATAGTTTTGACTCCACCTTTAATAGGCCTAACTCTGGTGCACGAAATTGGGTGTCTCCATCCACAAATTGGCAATCATGATATGGCACGAATATATTGGAACTACAATAAAAGATGGAATATCCTCGTAATTCCTCCATTGAAAATCCAATTGGTACCGCAAGCAGGAGATGTTTTTTAGGTTATCAAATGATACATAGTGCAATAGGGTCGAAACAAGCAAGATCTATAATATATGGGAATTCCAATAGATACCCCTGATAGTCTAATGAATGGGTGCTATCTTTTTCCATCCAATTTTTCTTGTGCTCCTTATGCTATAGTTATCTATATATATTTTTCACTGTGTAGTGACTATAAAAAGTGGAACTCTTGAAGGTGTGAAGTTTACCATGTGGGCATGAATTATTATCTTTTGGTTTCAATACATGTGGTCTTCTATTTTGTATGTATGATCATTTCCTAATGGCCTTCATATTCATTGATATTGAATTGTTTGGACAATATTATTGAATTACTCTACTGTGCTCATTAATTTTTTCAGGATGCTGGCATGCCAATTTTCCACCAGGCATTGTTGTGCTATACAACAAAACCAGTTCCTGTTGTTACAGCTGTGATGTCACTAATAAGCTTCTTTCGCAATCTGGTAATTGAAACTATTTATTATGATGATTAATCAATATTCTCCTTAGTAGAGTTTGGCATGACAAATCAGTCTTGTTAAGTAGGTTGAATTAGTATATTCAGAATAATGTCTACTTTGTTACTTGTTTGGTTGTCACCCATATTAAAAAAAGATTATTTACATATTGTGTTATGCATTATTTGGTAAGGTCCCCTCCCCCCTTCCCCCCCCCCCCCCCTAGGCCTCGGTTGGGTGTTTATCTCTCTCTGTGCAACTCCGTAGCCCAATTGTCAGTAAGGTTCCCTCTTTCTTTCTTCTCTAAACCACCCAAAGATCGAATCCTCAAAACCAGTGATTTAAAAAAGGCCGGGTCGACACAGAATCACCTGGTCTAATACGGGAATTGGTCACCTCGTGTCGATTCTATCAATATATAGGAAAGTGTCTGGGTCTAGAAGAGGACTGACGATATGCTACAGTACAAATGCCGATTCACCTATCCGGACCCATTTTTGGCCTGTTCACTGTTCTTGCAAGTGTTTTTTCACCGGTTCACTATTTTTTCCGCATAGTAAAGCAATGATCCGGACCGGTTTTTGCTATGCTCAATCCAGGTCATCGATTCGTTTTTTAAATCACTGCTCAAAACAAATCCCGTTACAATTTTTTTGAGAGTGTTTGCCGTCTCTTCTTCAAACCCCAAGAAAACCCAAAGTTCAAAACACTCTCTAAGTCTCTCGAATCTTGGAAAAATCACAATTATCCAAAACAAGCACCCAACAATTGTCCTCTGCAGCTATGATCACCAATTTTCTAGCAGGGTTCTCCCTCTACCTCTTTTTAAACCCAAAAATCTTAGTCCAAAAAACAAATTGCCATAGTTCCCTTTGATAGTGGATGCAAAGACTAGAGCAAATTTCCAAGCCGAAAAACAAGGCAAAATGGATACCTTCAACAAGCCAGTTGCTTAAACTAAGCTAAGTGAATAAGTTACAATCCTTTAAATAACAATTACAACCGTTTCTAGCCTTGTAACACCATTGTAAATAAACTCAAATACCAACCCCTTATGGGGCAATTACATATAAAACAAGACTAGTTTATGAATTACACTTTCACAGCACAAATTACATAAACTATGTCCCAAAGCTTAAATACAACATACAATTGATCTAAACAAAATTCTAAGGAATAAAATCAACTAAACAGGGAATTAGAATGCCAAATTAAAATCGGGAAGCCATATTTCAAACCCCTTGTGCTGGGGCCACGCAATCGGATCTATAAGGACTTAATTTTGTCCCTTCCAATTGTACAAAAGTGGTTCAATCTCACAAGAATGTCGAATCCAAAGGGGAAGCAATTACACACCTTAAAATTACTTTTTAAGATCTCAACACATTGGCATTATCATCCGAAAACATAATGCAAAAGGTTTAAATCGAATAGGATAAAGAACAAGAGAGTTATGGCCAAACTACACACGGTGGTCCCTCGGACCACCAAAACAGTCTTGTATCAAAAGATTATGAACTTGCATAGGTAAAAACGTGATGAAAAACTTCTGGAAATTCTGTGACAATGAGACTAAAGTATTTGCTGGTTTTAAAGCAAAGTAATCAATGGATACTATGCATGATCATGGATTCTCATGCATATACCCTTCTTATCCTTTTCCCGCTAGGTGCAAGGAGAAATAAAACAATTTTCGCAAAATTTAAGAGCCATGAAGTTACTGAGAAATTGATAGAAGATGATGTCAAGAGGAGGTGCATCATTATTTCTAAAGTTGGTAGTTTGCACGGCCTTGAAGGTGCAGGTAACGGAGATCGGAGTGATATTTGAGTATGGCTACATCTTGCCATTGATGCTAGGGTCTGGTGTGTGTGTGTGTGTGTGTGTGTGTGAGAGAGAGAGAGAGAGAGAGAGAGAGAGAGAGAGAGAGAGACGTACGTAGTTAGTTAGTTGTGGTAGGAAGTAAGTAGTTACGTAGAGACGACGACGAGGACGGACTACTCTCTACGTACCCGTAACCCAAAATAAAAACGAAAAAAAAGGAAAA